TATGTGTGTTAAAAATAAACCCCCCCCCCCCCCCCGTGTGGGCGTGACCTAAATGAAACAAAGGGGGCGGGGCCATGCTGCGCTGCTTTAGAGAAGATGAAGAGTTGCTGCCATGCCGTCAAAACTAGGGGTGCACAAAAAAATTATTTATATATGAATCGCGATTCTGTCTTCTAATGATTCTAATGAATTCACAAGTTTTAAATCAATGATGCCGTGCTGTATTAAAGCTTTAATCAGGATAAAACCGTATATTAAAAGCTAACATAAGCAGTAGCATTTACAAATAACAGCGTATCTAAAAGTATGAGACCACAACAAACAAAAAACATACCATTAAGAGCCGTGCTTGCACAGGTTCTGCACGATCCTCTTCACTAATATCTTCTGCTTCTCAATCGGGCTCAAACTGATAAGCAGTATAGACGACATCATTGTTTACAATACAAGCAGAGCACATGCCGCTGAGGTGAGGGGCGGGACATTTAGACACACACTAGAGGCGGTTTAGCCAATCATAACACACTGGGCTAGCTAACCAATCAGAGCCAATCACCTATTTCAGAGGGAGGGGCTTCATAAAAGCAGGAAATCATCAGTGTGTTTATAGAAGAAGGGACAGAGCGGTGTGGAATAAAGGTCAATTATGTGGAAAAAACCCCCACCCCTTTAACTAAAGGCTATACTCTTTAGCGCAATGGTAACCCCACAAAACTCACACATAACAGAAATCATTTTGAATCCCATCATAATAACAATAACCACGAACAGATCTCCCCTATATTAAAGGGGTCATATGATGTTGCTAAAAAAACATTATTTGGTGTAATGCAATGTGTTTATGCGGTTTAAGGTTAAAAAAATACTAGGGCTGTAGGGTGAGGGAATTTCCCTTGCGGTAATTCTGAGTGGCTCAATAGCGCAATATGCGGTATTATCGCCATATATATATATATATATACATACATACACACACTTACTCACGGTTCGGTTTGTATCACTGTTTTAGAGTCACAGTTTCGGTACGGTTCGTTATGTGCTATGTTTAGGGAAAAAAACTATATTGTGAAAATAAAAATAAAGAAAATAAGAACAAATAATCTAACTACAAGCAACACCACAAATAAATAAATAGTGCTTTTCAGTTTTTTAGGTAGGTCTAGCATAGTTTTTAGGTACAAAAATTGAATAAATCAAATGTAAAATAACATTGCATATTTGACTATATAAATGAAAGATTAATCCATATTAAAGTTACAAAAGCTATTCAATCAAGAGCTGTGAGAGATTTCCGTGTTGTTGCTGTTTGATTAACATTAAGAAAGTGCTGTCACTTTAAGAGAACGCATTGATCCAGTGCACTGATTCTGTACGTTCAGCCGACTATGTCTGCTAGGATACTCACCAAGATGGGCATTTTGACATCATTTTTGTTGGGAAAAAACGAACAATAATACTGATAAGATAATAATATACAAATTCTACTAATAAGAACAATATAAAACGCACCAAGGATTAACAAGCTGCTGGATTCATGAATGTTAATCAGGTTGTGTGCGTTCGCTGGAACTGATTGCTGAAATCAAAACAGGGACGATAATAAGTGAGCGCCAGCCAATGAGATTTCATTGCGCATTAGTTCCGCCCACTACTGGAGAACCCGGCAGTTTTTAAAAGCTGAAGAATTCCTATGGAACTCCTTTATTTTGACAGGAAAATATAACAAAGAATATCATTTACATGTAGCACATCAATTCTGCATGTTATGGAAGACACACTCTCACTCTCTCTCTCTCTCTCTCTCTCTCTCTCTCTCTCTCTCTCTCTCTGTGCATGTGAGAGAAAGCGACGGCGAGTAAATTATTTGTATTTTTTAAAAACAGAAGCACTGAAATTTGCCTATTTTATGAAAATTAGAAGAAAAATATTAGTCATATTTTCATGCTCAAAGAGAATTCGCTCATTCATGTATGTGTGAATTCATAGTTTGGTATATGACAATAATAAAAATAAATCATTAATTAAATGTAAAATTCTAATAAATATTTTTAAAATAAAAAAGCAAAATAATAACACTAAAAAAGATGAAATATTTTATTTGTTTAACTGCATATTGTGAACATTTACAGGTATCAGAGAACCATGAACATATGAATGTGTTGTTAACAAAACTCTTACTAAGGTGGTACTTCAAGTAAATATCCTGTGAAGCTGTGCATTAACACATTATTCATTGGATAGGCAATTATTGGTGCTTCAAACCACCCGAATACTATTAAATGATTATCCCATATTATATATATTTTTTGAATTTCTGTCATTTAACTGTAGAAGGGAACATTCTCTCCAATGATTATGTTCTACAGTTTGCTGCGTTCCATAATTAAAGAGGGCTAAAGATGTGCTTGACTGTCTCTCTCTGCTCTCTGGTTGCATCTGCAGTCGTCTAGCACCAACGCATGCTCGTCTTAAGCTTTCAGCATTGTTCAGCACTACATCACTGTACTGCCAGAGAGGAACCTATGTCTATGTCTTGTTAGATGGAAAGATCAATTATTAGCGACATGTGAACATGTACAGGGCTTTGCACATCAGTTTGAGCCCCATCAGCAGGTGGCCAGTTCACCTTCACAGGCTGGTCAATGGATCTCCCTTCCTGTAACTCTATCTCCATCAAACCAGTTAAAAATTCATCACTGGTTTTCAGGACCTCCATGCTCACTGATAATTTGATGTGAGTTGATAAGTTCTCCGCTTATGTTCTGTTCAAAGCCACTTAGAGGTGACATTGATGACAGCCTGTTTACAGGTAATCGATATACTGTACATGCTTCGACTACAGGCCTTTATTCAGAGTCCTAAAACATTACACATTATTAATTATGGTTGATAATTCATACAGTAGTAATTCATTGTAAAACTACAAGCCTGTGCCACTACAGCTCAGGTGTACAGTACGTGCAAAATTTTGTTGGCATTAGTTGATTTCTCGTCGTCACGTAGATGTTTTACTTTGCTGTTACCCTCATAAGAACTAGTCCATAAGTCTGTGTTATGCAGTCCATTTCAGATGCACTGAAAAAATAGAAAAACAGATCCGATTTAATCATATTACTTGCTTTGATTGTGTTTCTCTTCTGAACTTGATTTCTTTACTTCCAATTAATGTAATTCTCTAACATGTGCAATCTGCTACATTATATAATGTATGGTGAATATGAATCAATCAAGAATTAACTGTAGTTCCCAGCATGCTTTGCATGGGACTTAAAGGAGAGAAAAGTTGAAATCAAGTATTTTTTGTGTTTGTTTTTTAGCAAGATTATAAAAGGGGGAGACTTAATAGTGTTTAATGTTCAATTATGTTGGGATTTAGAACCATTTAATTTCACATTGGTGGAGATTTTGTGTGAGAATGGGTACATAAGGAGGACGGATACATCTTTGCTGCTTTCAGGAGCAGACTTAGCATTTAACATGCTAATATGTGCTATTGCACGCAAACAGTTCATTAGCTAGCTAGTATTATTCCTGAAAGCACACGTACATCTCAGAGACGTCTATTTGATATGTGTGTTTACATCTGGAAGACATATTGTTTTAGAGTGTTTGCTCATCTGCAATACTTCTCTAGGACGTTTCCTGTCAGATGTTTAATAGACGTTTAGAAAATGTTTAAGATGTTTATGATTTAGAATGTATGTAAAATTGACTTTTTAAAGATGTTTATCAGATGTTTATACACAGCAGATGCTTTACAGATGAAGTGCTCTTTAACAGACATCTTGCAGATGTACGTGTGCTATCTGGGATCTTATAATTCAAAGATGTTTATGATAGGTGTTAGTATGAAGTCCGTTGTCATATCCAGTGAAACATTTAGGGCCACAATGAGCGGCTCTGCAGAATGCTTTAAGTGTAGCTTTGAACAACCTCTACTGTACAGTAACTAAATAGCAGCACAGGATGCAGTACAGTACAACCATGTCAATTTGAGTTTTGTACTGCTGAAGACAACATAAAGCTATAATGCCCTCTCAGCTGTCAGCTGTTTTCTCTCCATCTGTGATCTGTCCCCGTCTCTCCTCTCTCTCTGTCTTCTCTCAGGTAGCTGAGCAGCTGATGACGCTGGCGTACGAGAACGGTATCAATCTGTTTGACACAGCCGAGGTGTATGCGGCAGGGAAGTGAGTACTGATTTCCCATCATTCATTGCTGTCGCTCTTCATCAACCATAGGGATTTACACTTATATATGAGGAGATTAGTACAGTATCTTTTATAGGACTGTATAGACCTACTTCTCACAGATCTGATGAATCTAAAATGGTTTTCAGGAAGCCAAATCATTGTCTGCTATTAAAATGTCTTTTAACTTTTTTTTAATATACTGTAGCTTTGGCAACAAGGTTCATGCTTCTTAGCGAAGATGTGACACAGTATCAAAGACTGTCGAGACCAAATGTTAAAGTTGAAGAACTGTTTATTTAAAAACTCATAGTGATCGACATCTATTCTGAATATTTGGGAAGTATGTGTTTTCCTAACTATCCGTAGAGGGTACTAATATATATATTAATATAGTAAATATAAATTGTATATAAAATTACAAAATTTAGAATTGTATGAATTTTATATAATTTTTACTATAATATATAGTAAAATAAATATTATATAAATTAATAAAAGTAAATACTTAGTAATAATACATTTGATCATATATAATTAATAAAATAATATTGTTATTTTTATTTATTTTTTATTATAATACATTTTTATATTTATTTACATTAAAAATGTATTATATTTAGATTTATGTATTATAAGTTGCTGAATGCATTACACTAATGTTCATACTTATAACATTACAACTGCTGTTTACTGTACACTTTAGATATCTATGTTTAGAACGACTTAGTGAAAGAAGTTTGTGTTTTGTCAGCAGAATTCACTTGTGCAAGAAGAGAAAAAAAGATGGAAAGGTGAATAGCCAAAACCTGCTAGCTTGCAGTAAATTTAGCAGTGGCGTCTTTATTTTCTGCAATGCCATGGAACTGTAACGTCAGGGAATTGCTGATAAAGTTGAGCGGAAATAGCCTGACTCAGTGCAAATCCACTCAACGGTACAAAACGGCACTTTAATGAGGCAGACCTTATGAGTGTTAAAGGACATAACCTTATATATGTCGTCTGTGTGTGTGTGCAGGGCGTTTGTCGCGTTTTTCATCCGTGTTTCATGCCATGTCAAGCTGGCAATGAGGCTCATGCAGAATGATGAAGACAGTATGTAAATACTTCAGCACAGACGAACAACCCAATCTTTATTACTCATACACAGATACTCGCCGTCTTCACAAACAGTAGATTTACTAATCTAGACTGCTAGTTAAATAGAAGATGAAGACTAGTACTAAGACTAGTTTGTGAGTTTGTCTACTGCCCTCTTGAGCCCACGTTACAATAGCGCTTCGTTTGTTACAAGCTGTCACAAGGTCTCACATTCTCGCAAAGGGATGACGAGGCCTGATGGGAGAACCATTCATGAAAAACACATTGGTCCTGAGGGCAAAAATGTAACATCTGTCATTAGACGTTCTCCCTCCCTTCCACTATCCCCCCTTTTTAAAAATCTTCTCACAGGAGTTTAAAAAAAACTGAAGCATTTTGCATGCGTTTACACTGGGAGTTCCTTTCATATTGCTGTAAAGTGAATGCTTCATTAGCTTAATTCTCCAGAAGCTGAGAACAGGGAATCCCCCAGTGTAGAAGATGCTTTTGCTCACCGACTGTGATGTAAGTGGAGAAGGTTTAGGCTAAAATAATAGCATGATAATTGCTTCTCACTTTCTTGCAGGGCTGAAATGGTTCTCGGCAGTATCATCAAGAAGAAAGGATGGAGGTAAACATATTGATTTGCTGTTTTTAAGGGTTCAGAACATTCTCAGACTCTTATTTAATGCGATTTGCTATTTTTGCGTGCTGTTTTCTCCTCCTCAGACTGTCAGAATAACTGCTGGCTTCGTCTTTGGAAAGGCGCTTGCTTGTACCATGCAGCTCCTGTTAGTTTGTGAATGACTAATGTGGAATTTGCACTTAAGGGGACATTAGCTTTTATTCACCCTACTATTCACTGTATGCAAGCACTGAGGCGAAAACCACTTCCCCTCCAGGGAAAGATGTCTAATTTTGGACCCAAGTTTTTGCCGTTTTTAGAAACATGGCATGACTGCAGTATTCAAAAAATCTTCTCTTGCGAGAGGTGAATATTTTTAGCATGAATTTTCTACAAAAGCCACTTTTTTTTAACATAAAAGATATTTAAAATTCAAGAATAAAATAAGGATGTTATTTTAGGGTTAACATTATAATACATTTTTATTATTTTAATGAATATTTTTTGAATATATATATATATATATATATATATATATATATACACACATATATACATACAGGGTATCTGCAAGATTTTTAAGCTCAAATTTAAGACTTTTTAAGACCTGCACAAATAAAATTAATACCATATGTGACCTTGGACCACAAAACCATTCTTAAGTCGCTTGTGAATATTTGTAGCAATAGACAAAAAAACGTTGTATGGGTCAAAATTATCGATTTTTCTTTTATGCCAAAAATCATTAGGATATTAAGTAAAGATCCATGTTTCATGAAGATATTTTGTAAATTTCCTAACATAAATTTTTATATATATATATATATATATATATATATATATATACACACATATATACATACAGGGTATCTGCAAGATTTTTAAGCTCAAATTTAAGACTTTTTAAGACCTGCACAAATAAAATTAATACCATATGTGACCTTGGACCACAAAACCATTCTTAAGTCGCTTGTGTATATTTGTAGCAATAGCCAAAAAAACGTTGTATGGGTCAAAATTATCGATTTTTCTTTTATGCCAAAAATCATTAGGATATTAAGTAAAGATCCATGTTTCATGAAGATATTTTGTAAATTTCCTAACATAAATATACCAACACTTAGCTTTTGATCAGTAATATGCATTGGACAACTTTAAAGGCGATTTTCTCAGTATTTTAATTTTTTTGCACCCTCAGATTCCAGATATTCAAATAGTTGTATCTCGGCCAAATATTGTCCTATCCTAACAAAGGTTAGCTTAAAAGCTTATTTATTCAGCTTTCAGATGATGTATAAATCTAAATTTTCGAGAAGTTTACCCTTATGACTGGTTTTGTGGTCCATGGTCACATATGAGCAGGGTAGGGCAATGTCAATGGTAACATATTAAACTGTAAAATGACTATAAGAAGCATGAATTACAGTTCAGATACAGGTTTTCACAAAAAAAGTTTTATAAAACAATAAACTTCACATTTCAATCCAGATATTCAAATAGTTGTATCTCGGCCAAATATTGTCCTATCCTAACAAAGGTTAGCTTAAAAGCTTATTTATTCAGCTTTCAGATGATGTATAAATCTCAATTTTCGAGAAGTTTACCCTTATGACTGGTTTTGTGGTCCATGGTCACATATGAGCAGGGTAGGGCAATGTCAATGGTAACATATTAAACTGTAAAATGACTATAAGCATGAATTACAGTTCAGATACAGGTTTTCACAAAAAAAGTTTTATAAAACAATAAACTTCACATTTCAACCTTTAAACCATTTTTAAGAAAATGGATGAGTCAAAAGTATCAATTATTATGTTTATTTAAACTATTATTATCAATCAGTTATTATATTAATTAAATAACATAAATATATTTTACTGTCGTGGGCAGTGTAGAGTAGGGCATGTTGTTTGTCATTTCTCCGATCACAAATGCAGACATGGTTTTATTTTTACAAAGACAGTATAAATCATTATAATCCATAGTTATGTCCCCACTGAATGCAACGAATGCCTCGTTTATAATGGGTTTTCATGTTTTTGAATCATCGCTCCGGCCTCACAGGGCATCACAATATGGTGAGGGGCGTAACATTTCCGTCACACGCTTGAGGTATTCGGCCAATCACAACGCACTGGATAGCTGGCCAATCACAGCACACCTTGCTTTTCAGACCGATGAGCTTTGTAAAAACCGACGTGTATCAGAAAGGCGGAGCCTAGAGGAGAAACAATAATGTACAGTATGTGTAAAATAATGTGTTTTTTTAACCTTAAACCGCATAAACACATTTCATTACACCAAATACACAAAATAATATTCTTTTTAGCAACATCATATCATGACCCCTTTAAGACTTTTTAAGGACCCGCGGAAACCCTGTATATATTCTATTTTAGTATATTTTAAAATCATAATTTTATTCTTGTGATGGCAAAGCTGAATTTTCAATATAATAATACAATATAATATAATAAGCATATTATAGAATTAATTTTAATAGTTTAAAAAAATTTAAAACCCTGGCTATTATGTTCAAATACAGTGGTTCCTGGACTTTTCATTACCTGGAATACAGTGTAACTACAGTGTCATTTCCTGAAGCCTAAATTGACATCGTTGTTTACCCATCAATCATCATCATGATGTCTGGCCCGTCTTTGCCTTTGTTTCGCTTTCAACCACTTTGTCTCCTGTCTTTCATAGACGTTCCAGTTTGGTCATCACCACCAAGATATACTGGGGTGGAAAGTAAGTGCTGTGCCTTTGTCAGATAGAGGTTAACGATGATTCATATCTTTCCCCGACTGTGAGAGCAACAGGGGAAGCAAGTTAATGATAGTCTCTTTCATACGAGTACGAGTGAAGCTGTGTGGGATATAGTAAAGGAAGTCCTGCAGACCCTCACTGGAGAACGATCCAGGTCGAATCCCCCCTCTGAGCTGTGCTCTTTCACTCAGGGCAAATTAAAGGCCAAAGCTGAGCACTGATGTGAGGTCACCATCAAACATTAATGGGTTTAAATTACCACTGTGCTCACATTTGGATAATCATTAGTTTCACATACAGAAACAGTGGCCATATTAACTGTGACCTTTAGTAAATTTACCTGAGGAAGATCATATCTTATAAAGATCTTATAATGTGTGCACCACTGCACGTCAGCATCACATTAAAGTGGTGATGAAACGGAAGTAGTGACTGTTCTTTTTTTTCTGTATTATGTACATCCAAACAAAAAGGATTAGAGAAAAGAAAAAAAAAACTTGGGTGGGGACTTCTGTCCATTGTTTGTTAATTTGATTAAAGCAGATCTGAATACAATCCTGCTGTTAAGCAGATTAAATGATTGGAGAAGTCTGCCATACATCACCATAGAGAAGTCTGTTCGCAGAAATGTCAAGTTGACCTTTTGATTAAAAATTGCAAGGTTTAAAAAAAGTTAAAGAACCATTCACCTTAATAATATTTAAATGTGTGGATGTCACGTTCTTGTTTATTTTTCAGAGCAGAAACAGAGAGAGGCTTGTCTAGAAAACACATAATAGAGGGTAAGTCAAGTTAGAAATATTCATGATTGCATTTTATATTGTAAATGTAAAAATCCACAATGTCATGTTTTAACCCCATAAAGTTCTTCATTCAAGATGTGTACAGTGCTAATTTAATGCTGCATTGTATAATTTAGCTGCTAGTCACCAGCCAGAAATGAAAAGATAAGAAAATGTAGTATAACACGAAAAATGACTTATTTCAGCTTTAAATAGTACTTTGTTTTTCTGACCTTCAGGTCTAAGGGCGTCACTGGAGAGACTTCAGTTAGAGTATGTGGACGTAGTGTTTGCTAACAGACCCGACCCCAACACACCAATGGAAGGTAGGTGTGCTTGAGGGATGCTGGGATAGTTTTGCATCTTTGACTCCCAGCACTGGAATGGCTGCTCACTTAACTGCTTTGCACTGAAGCATGGGACCATATCAGACCAGCCACATAGCTCTCAACACATAAAAGAGATCAAACACATTGAGACCAATGGCAGAGAGTTGTTTAACCTTTAAGGTGCAAAAGTTCCAAAAAGAGTCTAATCATCCCATTAATTTTGTAATAAACTACAACGTCATACAGAATAATGAATCGTCTATCTCAGAACGTTGAGCAGTGAATGGAGCATGTTGTCTAAGTGTTCTGTCAAGATGATTCAATTTGCATCACAGCAGTTGCATCCATTATGCATTTAATGGTTGAGTCAAGCTGTTATTTAGTCGAGGAAGAGTGCATGCTCTTGCTTTTGGTGAGTTTTACAAACGCATTAAATGGACTTTTACATCTACATCTCGTCGCAGTATATCTTTTATAATAGCAAGCAATAGTTTAGAGGGCTAAACAACTGAAGCAGCATGACTGAAAGACCTTAGGTTACTTAAATAGCATATTCACAGCACTATAGCATGGTAATTTTATTGGAGTCAGACCAACATGATTTTGTCACCTCATTTCCTTAAAGTCCTGATTTGCTGATAATGCTCTTCTCCTTAAGAATGGTGAGATATTAAAGGAATACAAGTTCAATGCAAGTTAAGCTCAGTCAACATCTAACTAAGTTAGTGTGACGATACCATGCTGTACAGCTGTGAGGGGTATGTGGATAGATTGATTAATGTCAGGGACTGAGCCTGATGCTTCTGAGGTCATGGTCATGTAGACATGATTGCTCGTGCTTGTGCACAGACCTCCAAGAGTTCAAGCGTGGTCCCATTACCCTGGGATTTGCAGAATCCGCTCTGGTCCAGTTCTGCTGCCTTTTTTTTCTTCTTCAGAGATTTCATTCCATTTGCTGGTTGGTAAACCTCTTTTCACAGTCTTTTGTTTGTTTGTTTATCACCAGGAGATCCATTTAACACTTCAAAATCAAGAACATTCATCATAGAAGGTACATGGTACCCTCAGTGAGCGTTTTGACCTCTTGTCTCCAAAAGCATTTTATGGCTTTGATTTGTGATAGTTTGCCCTCTTATCCTGGTGTGAGAAACCTGACTATGTCCATAAAATGCTGAAGATTTCCAGAAGTTCCTCTTAAACCTGGTATGCTGTAGAATGATTGATTTCTTTGACTATCCTGTCCATCTTGCAAGTGAAATTTGGAGAAGGTCATTGCATCTTACTGACCTGTGATTATAGTGTCTCTTTTTTTGTTGTTGTTTTTTTTTATATATAATTACCATGCATTTTCATTCAATTTGAATATCTTCTCCATTATTAATTTTTCTTAGGAATGTACTTGTCATGTAGATGCCAAGTGGATAATTTATTTTTGGGCTTCGCTTCTTTTTTAAAATTTTTGTTTTCTGTCAGTTCAAACATAGTTCAATACAGTGGCATATAACATACATATTATAATGAAAGGTTAATAATTAAATACATTGAAGCACTTTAACCAGCTTCCGCTCATACTTCGCTTTAGCCTTATCTTTAGATTTTCTTAAAACCACTAAAAAAATATTTTTTGCAAGATGATTGACTGCAGTGTCCTCGGCTTCCCTGCATGTGAATATTTTATTACTGCAAGTGACTGCTCTCTTTTTTGCATGTGTCTGTCTTTGTATTTAGTCTTTTTTTATATCTTCTCTTTGTCTACTAATGGTTTACAGTGATATTATTCATCAATCTTAAAAAAGACAAAAGCTGCTTAGCAGATCCCACTTTAAACTGGTAAATTGCAGATATTCTACTATATGAACACATAGTTTGTCTTCATATGTTAGTACAGATTGGAAATTTGATTTACTATAGGTTTGTGAATGCTGTCCTTTCCTGCCTGCAGTGTTTTTACTTACTAAATAATAGTAATAAGTAATTGGATGTTTTTTTTTCATAATATATGACCTATTTGATTATGTTTGTTTATTTATGTATATATATTTTTTTTTTTGCAGTTTTTATTAATATTTGGGAATTTCTTGTGGTGTGGCCTCATCATTAAACTATAAAATACAGAAATGTGTAACATTAAATTATGTGAATAGGAACACATTAAATATATTGGCATCTAATGTGGGTCTCTAAAAAAGGGAGTGTATAGACCCACAAAATGCATTTTTAAACAAGTAGTTTTTTGGAATCCTTAAAAATGTTACTAATCAAAACTTTTTCGAGAATCTAAGTCTGAAGGAGGGAGACCTGCTACTGCTTCTTAAATGAATGTTTGTGTGAAACTACTGTTCAAAATAATGGCCCATGGTGTGACACCTCTATAGTACTTGACAGATATCTTCTATTATTAACATAGAGTTTTCTTTTAGCCATTTTATCTGGCTCCTTTCTCATAATAGGGTATGTTCATGCAGCAGTGTATAATAATCTCATGACATGAAGTAGATTGTAGGTTGGACCGTGGAAAATTGCTCCTCTGCTAAATGTCAATGAAATGCAGCCTTGTGGAGATGTCATGCAGTCCGGAGTTGCACTCTGATTTATTTTCCGCCCACTGAGAAACTCTTTGAGTAGAGTTACTATAACATGCATAACCTTCAGGCCATTTCTAATGCCCTGTCACTTTGTATAAAGAAAATATGAATAATGGCCTTTGTTGCTCTTAGCCTTTCTCAGAATCTACTTCTGCTCCACTTCCATTACTTTACCATTATATTCATCCTTGTTTTTTTACTGGCTAGGTGTATTGCGGTCATCTTACTCTCTGTCAGATACTCTCTGATCACATCTGCTTTTGTTCCTCGGTCCCTCAATATCTGAGTGTTGTCCAGACTTTGATTGTTAATATTGTGATTGGCAGAGACGGTCCGAGCGATGACCCATGTGATTAACCAGGGAATGGCCATGTATTGGGGCACGTCCCGCTGGAGCTCCATGGAGATCATGGTGGGTTTGAAAGCACAGGGAATTGTTTAGCACATTAAAATAAAGATTTTTTGTTTTCAGTAAAATAAATATTATATAATAAGTATTCAGGTTGTTTCAGCATCTCATTTGCTGTCATTAAAGTGTATTTCGAATAGATAAGCATTATGCAAATTCATGTAATTAAACCATTACTTAGCTACAAATTTACCTTTTTGCTGTATATATATATATATATATATATTCTTATTCATATTCTTGAGATTAGGGACAAAACATGTCCTACACACGAAAGCCCTATTTATGTTAGAAATACTTCAAAATAAAAGTACTTAAAGTTACATCTAAAGGAAATCTGTATTGCTTTTATTTTTTAATAATTTCTTTAGTATTATTTTAAAAACATGCTTTACACTTGGAAATACATGTAATTTAACCTGTCCTCAGCATGAGTTCACAATGTAAAACTGCCAAACAAAGTGTTAAAAAATGCAACAAATTCAAAAATATACATTTATATTGAAAGGCAGTGATCTGTAATGTGTCAAACAATACAAAAAGTAAAACTTGTCTGACAGTGTTGACTTGTAAGCTGACGGAGTTGACAAATGCTCTCAAAACTCTTTATATAGTGATATAATTATGTTTTGCATAAGGGGACCTATTCTAATGTTGTTTCATGATTTTATTTACATAGATATTTGGCCTGATTTACATGCCTTACTTATTTTACAACCTGTCACATGAGATCACGGCAATAGTAAATCCTGATGTAATGGACTTCATAGAGAGCGAACATGCCAGTTGACCACTGCCTTAGTCATGCAGGTCAGGCACAAATACAATTTCATAACTGATGGGGTTTAAAGATCCTTTGGATTCATATTAGGAGCATTTCTGTTGCTGCTACAGGGCAGCTCATAAAAATACTGACCATTACACTGAATGGAACATAAGCTTCTTGTATTTTGTGAGCTACTGGAGACTCAGATTGAGACAACCACTAGAAGGATTATTGTATTAAATTAAATATCAGTTTAAAAATTAGCTAGTTGTCTTAATTTGTTGTCTTGTCAATCAGTTGTTGTAACCTCAGTTGGACCTTTGTCAACTCCGTTAGTTTTTAACACTGTCAGATGAAGGTTTCTGTTAATTTTGAAATAAAGATTTTATTATTATTTTCAATTTATTGTTCTAAAATAGTCAAACATGAACAGAACTACATGATAATATGTCTGTGTTCTCAAAGAACATAGGGTTATATATGTTTAATATTAAAATTAAGAAATGTACGAATTGGATTGTTCATAATAAAGTGAAAACTGGAAAAAAAATGTAGAGAATGTATTTAATCACTTCAGCTCCTTTACTGAACACCATTATTACACAATTGAAGACTTCACACTGTTATTGGGTGGAACAAATTTAAATATCACACTTTTTAATGCGTCTGATGGAGTTGACACAAATTAAGTTTTGAAATGAATTGATGTACATTTTTAGAAAAAAAAAACATTTTCAGAAAAACCTGTTTCCTTACAGTACATGGTTCATTAGCTGAGACCTTTCTCTACAAATATATACATTTATAAATAATGTATCAGTAAAAATAAGAAATAAAAACATGTTTTGTCCCTTATCTCAGGAATCAGTGATATATTACATGACCATATACATAACCACAAATTGCAAATTTGTTGCCATGTTTTAGTTAATTGCAGCTACATTGTTAATTCATTCCTCATGTTAGTTAATCGTGGTCACACTAACTCGTTCACTAGTTCTAGTAAATTGTCTAGTAAAATGTTGTACTAATTTGTTCCATCATTTTAGTAAATTGTGGCCACTTTATACTAATTTGTTCCATTGTTTTAGTAAATCCTGGCACGTTGTACTAATTGGCTCCCTCATTTTAGTAAACCATGGCTATATTGTACTGATTAGTTCCCAAAATAATTCATGGGAACTAATTCTTAATTCCTGGTCACAATAAAAATATTTTTGTCCCAATGTCATCTGCTCTGTTGTTTGGCTAAGGCACTGAAAAATTGTTCTATTATGAGCAGCTCTGAATCTGTGTGTACTATTGTATGTTTTTCAGGAGGCATACTCAGTGGCACGACAGTTTAACCTGATCCCACCTGTCTGTGAGCAGGCCGAATATCACATGTTTCAGAGAGAGAAGGTGGAAGTACAGCTGCCTGAACTCTTCCATAAGATAGGTATGTGTGTTTTCACTAGAGAAGCATCATTTTTCTTGAAATGAAGTAACAGAGTTGATGTAAGGGTGGCTGGTTCATAGTATGTCACAATGTTGTATGTGCAGGTGTGGGCGCCATGACGTGGTCTCCGCTGGCGTGTGGGATCATCTCAGGAAAGTATGACAGCGGTGTGCCTCCTTATTCCAGAGCCTCCCTCAAGGTATTCCTCGGCTAAGTGTTAAAGTCTCTCAGCACTCCTGTTGGTCTGTCCTGACTGTTGTCGGTGGTGGTCTTCATTGATGACTGTGTGTTTTAAATGAAGGCCTTGCTTGAGATCACTTTATCTGATTGTGAAGTGCTCCAACTCATCTGCACATATGCGTGTAGATGAATGCACAAACACTTTTGTGTTTCTCCTCTTTTCTTTGCTTTGATATATAGTGCCTTTCCATACATATTTTACACACAGCCATTGAGTGCTTTTGATTTCCGAATGATTTTATTTACTGTACATTGCATTGTATGCATAAGAATACATGCAGATGTAAGTAGACTGCAACACATGTCCAACATGTCAATAGCAGATTCTCCTGAAGTACACATGAATATTTTTAAATATAAATAATTAGCATGATAATACATGATTGACATGATTAGAATTAAGTATGGAAGCAACAAAATTACAAACATGAAGTAAAAAAACAGCATTAAAATCCAAACGCATACATACTCTATACATATTCCATTGAAAAGTATAAAAAAATATGAAAGTAGCATGCATGTCTTCAAGAATTTATTTGTGGATTAAATTAAATATTTTACAGTTTTGTACTTGTTAATAATTTAAAAATGTCACCCCAAAATTGTAATTCTGCTGTTATTTACACTATACTAAAATCAACATTAGCGTTTAAAAGTTTGGGTGTGCGTTGATCAAAAGTGACGGTAAAGATACCATTTATAATGTCGTAAAATAAATATTAAATAAATTCTGTTCCTTTGAACTTTCTATTCATCAAAGAATCCTGATAAAACTGCATCACGGTTTCAACAAAGAAAGGTTTCTTAGGCAGCAAATCAGCATATTAAAATGATTTCTGAAGGATCACGTGACACTGAAGACTGGAGTAATGTTGCTGAAAATTCAGCTTTGATATTGCAGGAATAAATTATATTTTAAATGGTATTCAAATAGAAAACTTTTATTGTAAATTGTAAATTTTTGCTGCACTTTTAATCAAATAAATGCAGTCTTGGTGAGCACACGAGACTTCTTTCAAAAACATACAATATTATCAACCATTAAAATTTTGAACAATAGTGTATGGGAAAATTCTTTTAAAAAATATTTTTTTGTGTGATCCATGGAAAAAAAATAACAGCATACAATTTTTTAATGTGAGATGTGCTTTCGTCTAGCAGTAAGTATAATAAATTACAACATTAAACAACTTAATTAATAATTGATGTCTACAACATAACCCTGTCCTATTTCTTGTGAGAGCATGATCATTTGAGCAAAAGTTGGAGAAGTATAATGTTCACCACCTTTAGGCAGCTGGTACCCATCACATTCCCACCGCACTATCCCATCAGCACCCGCTCATAAAACATGTTCATGTGGCTGTGTGTGCAGATCTCATTCATTCCATCATTACTTCACAAACACAATGAATATCCAGCAGCTATTCCTGTGGCTCATCAGCCGGTGGCGTGTGGCTCTCTGAGCAGGTGTGCTGTCTGTTTGAAACAGGGCTACCAGTGGTTGAAGGACAAGATCCTGAGTGAGGAAGGCCGCCGTCAGCAGGCAAAGCTGAAAGAGTTGCAGGCCATTGCGGAGCGGCTGGGCTGCACGCTGCCCCAGCTGGCCATCGGTAATTCTGCCTGGGCTTTGCTGCTCTCTCTCTTTCTGTCTGTCTGTCTGTCTGCCTGCCTGGAGCTCAGGACAGGCTGTCTGTCCTCGTCTCTTGCTTCTGTCATGTGTCTTTTTGTCTGGGGTCTTGTGTTGGACAGTCTTGCGTTTGTTAAATGTCTGTTTCTGTTCCTGAACTTCCTTATTAACCAATCAGAGGTTTTAACATAGTCCATTTACGGACCTGATGCCATGGGACAAGGTTTGGTTGACCAATATGGCCCTATTAAGTCATGCTGGAATTACATTATTATTATTGGGGAAAAAAGCATTTTTCTTTATTGAGAGGATCTGTATTTGTTGAAATCTACCTATACTTAATGTACTAATTCACACCCTTTAGAGTTAAATAAAGTACAAAGGTGTACCCTTTGAAAGAATACCACCACAGTGACAGCTTTTGCACCTTTCTTTCGATTGTGTATTTCAGTAAGGCAGAGTTACCTGTGGGTCTTTGTGTTATTATATGTTGTTCAGGTGGTCTCTTCCTATCCTAGTGGGCTGTTCTTGGGTAGAATAAGTTGTAATATGGACCAGACTAAAATTCAAAAATCTGCCAATGTGAGATTATCTTTACACTAAACCTGTCCCAAAAGTGCAGAGGTTAGTGTTTGCTTGATAGGAACAACAAATGATGTCAGTCCAGGAACATGTCCTAGTTGTGTAAAGCACAGTAAGCATTTAAAACATTCAACTGATGACTACTATCATTCATCAAAGGGGAAACACAGATAACTGCAACATTTCAGACAAGGTTTGCCTGTGTTGCTTCAGGTTTTGTTCCTTGAATCCATGCTAATCATTTATACTGTATAACCTTATTTAATAGAGCAGTAAAGGTCAGAGTAACAGCAGGGGTTCAGTAGGCTAGTGCTGACTGATAACTGTAGACCAGATGCACATTGTTTGGCACTTGATGTGACTGTGTGTCTGTTCTTGTGGTGTGATAGTTTTAATGTGATGTGGCTTTCTGCAACCTGTTTTTTAACACGTCAAAGTTCAGCTCAGTTTGAAACAGGATATTCAGTGATAAAAAATGTTGTAGATTTACTGTACAGTAAGACAAGGAACATGCATTAACTTGAATAAATAAGTTGTCCAAACTTAAAACAAGTGAGTTTAATAGCTGAAAATGCGAGCCTAAAATATGCTTCTCCTGTGTGTCGGTTGTAATGTAACAAAACTCAAGTTTATTTTTATAACTTAAAATGCACCTGCTTTAGCAGTAACTGCTTAGTTCAAGTTTAATGCCCACACATGTTAGCACTCTATCAAGTACACCTACCTCCGTCTTTTTTCTGTTCAGTGTTCTGACATTGTTGGTTATATAAAAAGCACACAGGTCTGAATTGCTTTCATCTTTCCTTAGATAATCTAATATCTAGAATTAGCTCTTTTACCTGGGGCTGAATTTCTGGTTGAGTTTTCGAATGGCTTTCACATTTACAGTAGACTCTAGACTCTTTCTGTTGACTGTTTCGAGTGTTTAGAGAGATGTGAAGTATCTTTGCTTTGGTGTGTCTCTAGCGTGGTGTCTGAGGAATGAGGGGGTGAGCTGTGTGCTGCTGGGGGCCTCCAGCACTGTACAGCTGATGGAGAACATAGGAGCCATTCAGGTGAGCCACTCACAGCAGGATACATACATGAACAAAGCTTTTCATTCTGTTAACAGAAATGCAGTAGATGAAATGCTGAGGTTTTTGCAAATGGCAGTGGCACAAGAACAATGTGACATAACAAGCTGTGAAAATTAGCATTAAGTAATTTTTGATACAAATTGTGGTTATAAATAAACATTTTTGGGCAGAAGAAAATATTTTATTTTTAAATCAATAGGATACGTAATGTAATTATAATAAAATAATTTAGAAAATATGAATAATATGATTACTAAATAAAAAGTAATATTACTATTGTAATATAACTGTAAAATTATTGTATTTTATTGTATTACTATTACTGTTGTACTACTGTTGTACTAGCTGTTGAATTACTGTAAAATAAAAAAATTAGTATTTAAAAAACTATGTAGTAATAAGAATTTTATTTTACAGTACAACAAATATACAAATTTCTTCATTTTTAAACGTTAAACTATCTTTAACTTCTATTTTGGAGGTAAACCTCAAGGAGCCCTTAAAAGCTTCTCGTGTTGACAACAGATGGGTTATAAATGCTTGTCGTTACAAGTTTGGGAAGATGGTTGATGCATGTTGCATTCCCAAATGCACATTATAAGTGACTCAAACTCAGAGCAGACACAAAGATGAGTTTGTGCGAAGCATTTATTGTTAATTGTGCCACTCCAAGACTTTGAAAACACTGGGTCATCATGAGCAGCTTGAGTACAAATAAACACATAGCAAGCAGATTAGTCATGCAGCCCTTCTATATGGTGACAATTCTCAATATACAACCTGACATTAAACAGCCCATTATAATCTTTTCAGACAACATTAAATCAATTATAAAACTGCAAAAATGGAAAAGGTAACATAAAAACATTAGGTGCTTGTTGTTAATGAATTTGTAAAGTTGAAAAACACATTAAACTTCAGCCCAACATTCTTCCAGGTTCTTCCAAAATTATCATCATCAATTATACATGAAATGGACAGTATCCTAGGCAACAAGCCCTACAGTAAAAAGGACTACCGGTCTTAAAAGGAAAGCCAGTGACACTGGGTCAACCTGCTTATTTCTCTGAGCTTTGACTGAAAAAACATTGGCTCATGGGACCAGCACTGTCACAGGTCCTGCAGGAGAAGCCTACTCACACACTACTTGAAGTCTGCCGACATTAGCCTGAGAGGAGGCCAAGAACCGCACGGGCAGAAGGGAAGCATGCTCGCATACAAATCAGCTAGGCCGGCTCAATAAGCAGAACGCCGCTCCAACCACCAAGAAACCACCGGCTCACTTCCTCCTCCCCTTTGTCCCCTTGTAGTAAACACTAAGAAGTGCCGTATTAGAGATCCAGAATTTGTACTTACTCTAGAAATGCATGAGATCTGGCCATGGCACTTGCTTTTTTCCTACATGTTGGAAAACAAATACATTTGCGTAAGCTCGCAGAACGTAATGAAGCTGATGAAGCACTTTGGTGAATGCAGAAAGTTACATGACTGAACAAACTAAATAAGGCATTTGATGTTACTCATCTCTGGTTTTATATCAAAATTGTTAGCCAATCTAGTGCTTGTTTACAAGACTTAATTTATACTACAAGCTATATCAATTCTGGCTGTGTTTTAGTTCTAAACATAGAAAGGGGAAGCCATCTGAGTTACACATAATAATGTATAAAGACTGTCCGAAATATTAAATAGAGATCAAAAACAGGCCTCAACAAATGTGCAATATCAGAAAGTGTTTAACTCATTGATCTTTTTACTTTTAAAACCTTTTCTAAGAAGCAAATGACCTAAAACAGTGTAGACACAGTAGTTGAGTGGTGGTCTGTGCTCATTTGTCATCGCTTCGTCGGGCTGAAACCAAAGAAATTTCTGTGCTCGATCTGCCCTGCTGTTACCTTCAAACCACTTGACCACGTGACCTATTGTTTAAAATGTTATTTGGAACTCCTCATGTTTTATGCCTGAATGTTGTGTACTTTAAGTCGTTTTCAATGTATGTGGAAATCTCTGTTATTATTTCTTTATTTTAACAGTTTTCAGAATAATTTTGAGACAAGCCTGTCTTTTTTGAAGGCATTAAGGTGTTATACTATTTGTTGTTATTTGTCAGTTTACCTTGTCATGTTTAATGTTTGTTGTCCTCGTTGTATCTGTTGTGTGCGTCTTAACTACGATTTTTTTTTTCGTCCAATGGCGCCCTCTACTGGCTCGCTCCAAATTAGCCTACTACATTAAATTTTACATTACTCATTCGAAAAAGGCTTTAAATTAACTGTTGCTTTTGATTAATGATAATTTACAATAATATTTGCAAGGCAGTGGATCTTTTCTTCTTAGTGCAATTTATTTTCCATGAAACATAATTCCAGATGTGTCTATAAAAGTGGTAAATCATATCTTGGACATTTTCAAACGAGTAAGCCAGTGATTAGGACAGTGGTAATTTGCTGTCTAGATTATATTCCTTATTTAGTACTAATGCAAAATATTCAGTGCTTGCAACCATTTGTTTAGCATGTTTCATCTGTACCAGTATGTGTATGCATTATGGCTTTTTAAAACCATCAGTGGTGAATGGAGAGCATAACCTGGTGGGAGTGACAGATTCTTTATGGAGTAATTTATATGTGATCATAGTTATTAACTTTAAAATAAATGCCAAAATAAATTCACAACATATCAAGGCAGTTCAACATATTCTGACACTCATTTCAATATGAATGGACTTTTTACTGAATTTATGTATTAAAGAGTTGCAATACAGTTGGCTGCGTGTACATAGTAATGAATTTTAATAATGGCCTATTATTTTAGTGTAGAACAATGCTTATGCTTGGCTGGGTATGAAAGTGTTGACCTGTAGTTGGAATGTAATGCATCTTATAAGGGTTTTGATTGTTGTCTGAGCTACATCCTGTCTTAAGAGAGAAAATGCGTCAAACATACTGTTTAACAAGAAAAAATCAGAGAGATTATTCATAATATTCGTAAGGCTTTTTGAAGTAGCACTTTAACCAAAGACCACAGGATCTTATAGAAGTGGAAGGCGTTACTTCAGTTGCCTTTAGCTGAGGGTCATAGTAAATGTCCTTATATTTGTCATTTTTTATGTTGAGTCAGGCTGCATCTATCGTTTAAGATGTTAGTGGTTTGTTTTTGCTCAGGAAGTCATAATATGTAGTCAGTAATTAGATGGTAAAATTGAACCAGTTTAGTCATGTGGAGGATAAACATCATTGAATGAGAAATTGTTGGTGTACAGTCCCCCTCCTCCCCTGCAAAGACAGAGGTTGTTGATGAAGGAGCCTAAGTTGAATACTTTGCTGTAAAATTATTTTTAAAAAAATAGTCCAATATTGTCAACAGGAGTAACTGTATGTACAGGAAATCTGATGTTTTGAAGCTGATTTGATAAGATTACTGTTTTTTGGTATAACCTATAATTCTGACATTTGTTAACTGTACAATGACCATTACTGTTACAGATATGCATTAAGTTATGTTGATTTCTGTAGATACATAATGGAATGGTTTGATAACATGTATATAATCTAAATATATACTATACTGGTCTTATTGAGCATTATCACATTTGCCTTCATTTATTTTTTCATTGGCAATTATTGCTTATAACATTGTGCTTGAAAAAAAAAATGTAGCGCTTCAAACATCTGAAAATAAATTATTCTAAAATTCTTTAATTTAGTCTTTGTGTTTTATGTGTCTAAAGACCACAAAGGGAATACATTTATTTATTGGTTAAGTGTCCAAAATATGTGTAAATGTGTAATATGTATGATATGCCCTTTTTTCCTCTTAAAAATCTATTGTAAATTATTTTAGAGCATTACAGGGTGCCAATAATTTATTATTATTTGTAATAAAACAAACAGTATTTTGTTCAGAAAAACAGAAAACAAAGCATAAAGACATTTTTTTTTGTAAATCTAAAGAATTATTGTTCAATCATGCAAATGGCAAAGTAATGCCAGTATTCTTGTACTTATTTCTGCCCATTAAACATCTTAAGTGCACACAGAACAGCATAATTCTTTAACTGCAGTTAGCAAAAACATTCTTTAAAAATTCAACGCCTATTTCTATACCCCTTAGAGACGCTGAATCATGAATAAAACATTTGTAAGCTTCCAGAAAACCAACCATTACAAAACAAAGAAAAAGCATCAACCATGGTTGTTTAAAAAAAGTTTTAAGTGCTATCTTTGGTCGTGGCTTAGCTGCAGAAATATTGAAATATAAATTTTCTTTGAGTTCATAGTCTGCACTGAGAATGCAAATCACACTTCACAAATGCATAATGTGGAGAAGGTCCTGTACAAAAATAAAGCTGTAGCAAAAACCCTAAAAGGACAAAACACTGGTTCAGTATAACAGGAATCATAGTGATTATAAGGTTTACAGTACAGTTTTCTTTCAAATAAAATTGTACACAAGAATTCACACATTAAGCATACATTCATACAGTACACAGGTAAAAATGTACTCCAGTTTCATATTTTTTGTATTACTTGAAATATGGACAACATACATCAACGCCTAAATATTATACACCGTAGTAACAAATTTGCGCAAAATTCTACTTAAATGTTAAAGAATTGACAACGTTCATGAATGATATTAGATAATCAAAGTCTACCGACAATTCCAAATATCCACACTCAAGACAAAACCTGGGGTTAAATGGATACAAAACCATAAAATGAGGTTATATAAATGATAGCAGAAGTCTGGGTGCACTATCCCTTTAAGCCCTGTTTAAGATCACAGTGACAGTGGGATTCACTTCAATTTCAGGTGAAGCGAAGGCCTTGATTTGGTGCTTTTCTTGATTAGAGTTAAACTGAAGTCATCAGGAAGTTCAATCTCCCTGAGCAGAACTGATGCTGAAAAAACTCTTTGAATTTGTCCTCATCCAGGAGGAACTTCAATATGAATAGTCTTCTCCATTTTGGACTTCATGTTGTCCACTTTTCCACAAGAAAGTATATCATTTATTGACTATATAATGGAAGTCTCCACCTTGGAAGTTTGTCCTTGTTAGAGTCATCTGACGGTTTGGTGGACTTTTGTGTTCAAAGATCTAAAAAAAAAAAAAATGCTACAAGCCTTCAATTTTAGCCAAGAGTCCACTCACAAATTCAAGCCAGGTCAGTTTACAGTCAGTGAAACTGTCGGTGTCTGTTATTGAACTGGGTAAGAAACCGTGAGATTGCTATACTGACGAGTCCTTCCTTTTGCTTCTGCTAGTATTCTGAATAGACATGAGCCCTGTTATTAAAAAAACCATTACACAGGAAAGTTGTTATTTGAGATTGCTGTAAAAAGTGAAGGTTATTGTGAATTACCAGTGAAATTACCCTCTTGACAGCTCGGCCCGACCCAGCTGTTAAGACAGGTGCAGCGTCCATTGCGTGGATTGCATTGACCTCCGTTGTGACACTCACATCTCTCTGAGCAGTCAGGTCCAAATCGATTCACTCCACAGTCTGATGGGAATGCAAAAAGACATTTTTGACTAAAGAAAAAAATTAAGTGACACAAATTCGGTGGAGGGCTTACCTATATCACAGCGAGATCCCATTTTCCCAGGTGCACACAGACACCTGCCACTGACAGGGTAACATGGTGTGTCTCCGTCACAGTCACATATGTGGACACAATTAGGCCCAAATTTGCCTGGATCACACTCTGAAACATAAACATACAGTTTACATAATATTCAGATACAATAAATGTGTGCATATATACATGCGTACATGTACAGATATATGTATGCATATATATACATAGTACAGATGCATTCAGATGTATAGATATGGACTATCATTTATCATTAAAAAAATCTATACTTTTACTCAGCAAGGATGCATATGTTTGACTGAAAGTAACAGTAAAGACATTTACAAAATTCTAATATTTCAAACAAATTTAATTTTTCGAAATCTTTTGCAAAGACATTTGCAAAAGATTTTTAAAACTTTCTATTCAAAGCATTGTTATAAAGACATTGATGATAAAACACCGATATCCTCTGCACCTCTATCACAGCGGAGTCCTTGATAACCTGGAGGACAGAAGCAGCGGCCAGTTGCAGAGTCACAAGGTGCATTGGCACGGCAGTCACACAAAAGCTGGCAGCGATGTCCATGGAAACCAACAGGGCATGCTTTTGATTAAAAAAAAACACCTGAATCAGAATCATTACAAAATGGACTAAAATTAGATGAAACAGATGCTGTGTTTTCTCACCATGTTCACAGAGGTGTCCGTAGTACCCAGGAGGACAGTGACACTCGCCCGTCACTCTGTCACAGGTGCCATTATTTTTACAATCACATACTTCCCTGCAGTCAGCCCCATACCGGCCTCTGGGACACTCTGATCAACACATTTAAACAGAATTTAATAATCTATTATTTCCATTTTTCATAATGTAACATTTCTAAATTCATTTTAACATTTATTTTATATTATTATTATATAATAATTATATTATATATATACTGTATATATTATAATAGTATTATAGTATTTCATTAATTTATTTTAATAAACTACATAGATATATTATTTTTATAATATAAAAAATATTTTATCAATAAATTATTTCATTTATTTTAGAATTTTACATTTTGTCTAAAAATAATTTTTGGCTTATCAATATTTGCTTGAATTTTTTATATCGCTGCATCCTTAGTCACACTGTGTTTTTATTGTATTGATAAAAGCTGCATATTTTGCAGAATTTCTATGTTCGGGTGAACTGTGCACAATCAGCTGACCTCGATCACAGCAGTTTCCTGTCCAGCCCAGCCCACAGGTGCAGTTTCCTGTAACCACGTCACACAGTCCTCCATTACTGCAGTGACAGCGCTGAGCACAGTCCTCGCCAAACCAGCCCCTAGGACAACCTGAGACACAATTACTCTTCATCGGCTTATTTCATACAAATTCAGCAAAACATTAGTCAATCCCTTCAACATTACTTTTATCAGGAATACAGTCAGACCTTTCCCACAGTCTTCCCCTCGCTGGCCTGCTTTGCACACGCATCTGCCTGTGACCGGATCACTCCTGGCCCCTTCACCACACAAAGCCACTCGTGCACAGTCTTGCCCGTAACGCCCTGATGGACAGGCTTTAGAGAGAGAGCAGTCTGTTAGTGATTACACTAACCTTTTTTAAAAAAAATTAAAAATTCTGGAAATGAGACAATATTTGTTAAAGAACAATGATTAAAAATGGTAAAAGTGTGACTGACTGATATTGCAGTTTGGTCCAATGAATCCCGGTGGGCAGGTACAGCTGCCAGTGCTGGTCTTGCACACTCCTTTATTCAGACACTGGCACTCCTGCTCGCAGTTGGGACCATAACGGCCTACCGCACACTCTAAAACAACAAGGCATCATGGGTACAACATCTATGCAGTAATCTATGTAGTAATAACGATTTACTTCTTTAAAACTTTACAGCATGTGAATGTTTCTTCAACAATGGGCATTTTGGCCACTAATACAAATTACTTTTAAACATGTTTCCTGTCTTGCTAAGACTAATTTCATAGCTTTTATATCCTAAATACTTATAATTAAGTAACATGCATAATTTGACAATTACAGATCGATTGGAAATTACACACAATAAAGTTGTATTTGTGATGGCAATGATGCCACATTTGTGTGAATTGTGTAGGTTTTTTAAAGATGTAATTAATTTAAAAGTTTTTGATTTCATAATCTAGGGCAAAGATAAAACAAAATCTATATATTAAAAGGTGTTTGAAAAAAATTTGAATAAAAAAATTATAAAAACGTATGTATGTAAAAAAAGTTTTTAATACGACAAGAATAAAAAGAAAAAAGATCAAATCTGTTAGTTTGGTAACAAATTACAATAAGGTTCCATTAGTTAATGGTGTTTAATGCGTTAACTTACATTACCTCTCAATGAGCAATACGTTTGTTACAGTATTTATTCATCTTTGCTGACATTAGTTAATAAAAATACGACTGTTCATTGTTAGTTCATGATAGCTCAGGTCCATTAAATAATATTAACATACAACTTTTGATTTTAATAATGTATCAGTAAATGTTGAAATTTACATGAACTAAATGAACTATAAAAGCTTTTATTAATCTTAGTTAATGTTAACCTCTTTGTAAAGCCATTCGTTTTAATAAAAATCAACACCGGTGACACAATAGTGCCTGTATACAAATACATAAAAGCATATTTTACCTGTCTGGTGTACTATTCGGAAAATAATTAAAATATTTTTTTCCATATAGCCATATTGTTACATATGGAATCCTTACTGTTCATCTCAGTATATACATAGGACTTATTAAGATGAAAGAAGGTGAGATCATGAAGGGCACACCTGTATCACACTTGCTGCCATGATATCCTGGAGCACAGTAGCAGACACCAGTGACGGGGTGACAGAGCTGATTAACCTCAGAGCACTGGCACACCTGATTACACTTCAGTCCAAACATGCCTGACTGACACACTGCAGAGCAGAGGAACAAAACAACCTTTGAGATACAGGACACATCAGGATTAGTGTTTAACAACTGATATGCTGTCAAACACATTTCAACATAAGTGTAATGAGATCAGAAGATAATCACTCACTTCGCTCACAGCCGTTACCAGTAAACCCAGGTGGGCAGCCACACTCCCCGGTCACATGGTTACAGGAAGTGCTGCCAGGACAGTGGCATTGCTGAGCACATCGCTTCCCGTATGAACCTGGTAAACAAACTGAAAGAGCACACATGAGTTACAGTATGCTGGATCTGCCAAAAGGGGGCAATCTGACAGATAAAAACAAGATAGCCATTGGGGAAAATTACTTTTCTCGCAGTGCAACCCTCTCCAGCCTGCAGGACACATACAGGTGCCAGTGATGTGGTGACATGGGGCGTTATGATCACACCTGCACTGCTGCTTACAGCCTGGACCATATAAACCTTGAGTACATGCTGATCAAAACACACAGAATGAGAATACATATTCTTCTTTGTGGTCAGTTTTTAAGCAGACATTATAATGACTACTGAGGCACTGTGATGCTTTTTACCCATCTCACAGTGTGAGCCCATCCAGCCTGCTGGACAGAAGCACCTGCCATTCTGTCGGTCACACACTCCTCCATTCTCACACTCACACTTGTGTTGACAGTCGATGCCGAAGTGTCCCAGAGCACATTCTGAACATAAAACACAGGAACGAGATGTTTGAAAAACAAAATTGCCAATTTGCAGCTGAAAATGTTTACATATTTTCACTGTTATATGAATTACTGTAAACATTGTTGTGTATCAAAAATGTCTGGTTTATGTCTAACCCTGTTCACAGGCCACTCCAATCCATCCACTTAGACATGTGCAGTGCCCACTGATTCGGACACATGACCCTCCATTCTGGCACAAGCAGTGCTGGTGACAGCCCACACCATAGAAGCCAGCTGGGCATTCTTGGGAGAGAAAAAAAAAACAGACAAAGATCATCTCTTTCATGTGAACTTTCAGTTGAGCATGTTTCTGATATGAGTGCTGTCAATCAAATTTGATTAAAATAATTACAAAATGGAATGCCTAATCAAATTTATAACATATATGAATATATTTGTACATTTATTATTATTATTATTTATTATTGTTGTTATTATTCATAATAATAAACATAGCGTTTTTATTTTATTTTTCTAGGGATATCAATTTAACGTTACTTCAGTACAAATAAATATACAAAAATAACATGTTATTTGTATAACTGTTATGTTTATAAACAGCTATATAGAACACAACAGAATGAAACCGATTCCAAAAAATACAGAAAAGCTTATATGTTCTAAACTTAACACAGTACCTCAAAAATGTGTTCAAGACAAGACACTGAAAAATACACATAGGAATAACTTTATTTTACAGTCCTGTTCCACGTGTCCATACTATGTACTTATTATAGCAATTACAATAACTGGGTTGTAAATAGGTACTAACCCAGAACCTACCCCTAAACCTAGCTTAAGCCATGTAGTTACCTTATACTACCAGCACTTTCTTGGGTAAGTACACTGTAAATACACATACTGTAAAATAAAGTGCAAACTATATATCTCTATGTGTGTGTTATTAATAATAATAATAATGTTTAAAAGTTTAAGTAAAAAATAAAAGTGTTTTTTTTGGCGCTTCTTGGTCTTACCCCATTTTTTATGAAGCTATATTAAGTTTTAAATAATTCAGCTTTAGATGCCTGGAATCTGTTTTATTTTGTTGAGCTCTATATAGTATATGTAAAATAACATGTTATATATATATATATATATATATATATATATATATA